GTATATATATATATATATATATATATATATATATGAACCGTTTGAACGTTTAGGAGGAACAAATTCCATCGCTGTTCCGTGAACGTGAACGAAGCTCCGGTCGTAAGAGGGATTTTAACTCTGATCGATTGAACATCGACAATAAAGAGCTGACGAAATTACTCTTGGAGGAGTTGCAGGATGGATCTTCCTACAATCTCGGGGACTTGGATGACGAAGGATACGTGGACGTCCGTCAGATGCTTTATGATCGATATAGAGGCGATCGAGGGAACAAGATGTACGAGTTAGTATGATCGATGATTAATGGTACTTTTTTTTCTAAGATAAAGAAAAATATATGATATGATTATAAACGCATCGTTATTATTTCAATAACGATAAATGAAATATGTTAAACGATTTGTAGTAGGAATTCAGGTCCGATGTCCTGGGGAGCATTGTTGAATAAAGAATCATCGATCCGAGGACAAGGTAGAATATCGGACGAGAACGAATTCAACGATCGGGAACAAGATCCGAATCTGTTGTATCTGTCTATGGATGAGCAAAGAAACATGAACGGTGGATATCCTACGGAACGAGCTATGAGGAGCTATAGAAACGCGGCTAAACGTTATTTCGTGGCCAAAAGAAGCCCGAAAGTTATACCTGCCAAGAAAGAGATTACCGATCCTAAGGTAATTAATTCGATTCTATAAATTAATGAGATGTTTTAACGTTAAAATATTCCATTATTTTATTCCATTTATAGAAATATATTATTATAGTATAAACAGATTTCGAGTTGCGAAAATAAATTATTTATTTTTCATTCAAGGTTGCACAAGACTTAGGGGCATTATTTGGCACCCAATCTGTGAATAATAATCAAAACCATACGTATAACTACAAGAATCACGATCACGAACATAATCACGATCCCGATCACGATCACGATCACGATCATGATCACGATCACGAGCACGAGCATGATCATGAGCACGGGGGGGATCAGCATAAACATGAGAATTCTTCAGAGGCGCCAAAAGTGATGTTGCCATCGAAAGGGCAAAAAGAGAATGTAACAAAATTAAACAAATCGAAGTCTATCGAGGTCAGGAAAAAGAGCGTCGATTGGTCTCAATATTTTGGTATTGATAAAAGAAGGAAAAAGGCTGCATTAATGGCCGGACAAGGAACTCAGAATCAAGATGATGAATGGATGTTACAACGATATTATGAAGTAATGATTATCTCGTTTATTTCAATGTTTTTTTTTTTCGTCTAAATGTTTATGATAATTAAAATAATTGTCATTATGTCGATTATTTATTCTTCTCAATAATGAATTGTGCTTACGATATTGATTAAATATCATTAAGAAAAAAATCTTTTTTTACTTGTAAGTATAATCTACAGTAGTTGAATTAATTATGGATTTGTCAGAATATGGTGGAAAATCTGAGACCGAATGAACGAGATTACGAAAAGGAAATTAACGAAGGGAAAGATAAATTGAACCAATTGGATTCGAGACAGAAAAACATTAAAGACTTGATTCTTGAGGAAGCTATGAGATATGGAAATTCTGAGGATGATATAGATATGCAAAAGGTGTAATATATTCAAAGAAATTAATCAATGATTAACATTACAATGTTTCATCACATGTTTTTTTATAATGTTTTTATTTAAATTAAAAAAAAAAATAGGTAAAAGATAAGGTAATGGCTCGAATGGCTGCTGCGTACTCTTTTGAGAAAATGAGAAAAGCTCTAAACGATCTCAGAAACAATGTTGCGGCTAGAATAGAGGCTCAAAAGGCGATCTATGCACAGAATAATCAATCCTCGAACTTTCGAGAAAATAGCAACATTCCTAAATCCAAAGATAAACGCATCAACAATTTAATCGAGACTGAAGGTAAAAATTCAACAAAAAATCATCGTTTATGTTTATATTTATTCCTTAATGTCAAACTGTTTTAAATTTCTGTGAAAGATATGGAAGAAAATAGAGCTTGTCCTGAGTTAAAAATGATCGAAAAACGATGCAGAGTTGTAGATACTTTAGGTGGAGATGAATTACAAATACTCTATCTTCCTTGCGTTATGCTTCAAATCTGCAAGGCTTGTGTAAGTATATACGTACTTACATATACATATAAAGTCTCTATACTTTTATTATAAAACTGGAAAAAAAATATCATAAATTGTATATCTTTAATTCCGTAATTGTTTCGTGGATTAATCTACGAATAATAATAAAAATATTTGAAATATTAATAGTATATGATAAATCTTTATCTTTAATCAATATAAATCAATATCTTTAGATAATAAAAACCAATAATTTTTAGGTACAAAATGATCTAGAAGAGGAATGTTTAGGTAACTATGCAATGGAAGCGGGAAAAATTTGTGATGCTCAAGAAATAAGAGAAGGGCCAAAGAGCAGAGAAGCGTGTGCTAGTACAGCTCTGGTATTATCGCAATTACAAACACCAACAGCGATCTCCGATCAATGTCGTCTCGATGGAAACAATTCTTGTTTACGACGATATCATTATCGTTATTGGCATCGTTATCTTAATTATCCTTATAGCGGACGACGATTGCATACGGGTTATGATACAATCAGCTCTCAACAATCGGATCGATAAAGAAAGAATAGTAAAGTTTTAAGTAATACAGCATCTATAATACATCGAGAATGCTTTATTGAGAAACATGTTTGGCCCTTCAACAGATCAGTGACCTCGAATCGAGCTTCATTTTTTTCTACCGACTTTCAATATTTCGTTCGTTTTGTTTGTTTTATTAAAAATATAGTATAGTAAGATCTAGATAATAAGATTAGGATACTTAAAATAATATATTATTTATTAATAGAATACAAGTTATGTTAACTGTTGTTGAAAAAGTATTTTGACTTCAGACAAAAAAGATCAAGTCAAGTCGAATAATATTTTCAAGTCGATTCGAGAACACGACGATAAAAATGATTATAGCGTTTGTGTGTATAATTATATATTCCGATATCATTTAATAACAAAAAGAAAGGAGAGACAGCTAGATTTCAAGTTGAAAGAATGTTCTCTTTGCGAGGTGTCTTTTATTTTGATAATGAATGCAACAACAAACGATAAGGGACAATAACTTTCGAAATTTTATTATTTTTTAAGCGTAAAATTATTTACTTGTGTTTTTTAAAAAAGAAAAATTTGAATAAAGTCATGAGTAGGAATTATTCTATTGATAAATATAGAGATCAAAAAATCATATTTTAAACTCATAAAGAAAATAAAAAGTTCGAATGAATGCCTCGCAAAAAAAAAAAAAAAAAAAAAAGAATTAACTGTGTTATAAAATATATCAAAACTGTCATTAAATATCGAAAAGCATAACACACGATTATAATAGATGATTTCTAATAATATTCTCGTACTCGCAAAATAAAAGAAATTTATTTTTCTTATTTTATTTTATTTAAACACATTTACATTTTAATTCTTCCGAATGATACAACATAATTTGATTGATTTTTTTTCTATTGTAGAATATTTTCCGTCGTAAAATGTAATTGATATTAAAGTGAAATATTTAATGAAATTTAAAAAAAAGAAAATATCAATTTTATTACGATGTAAATTTATATTACATCAGATAAAAAATATCTATTGTCTGTCTTTATGTTATATAAATCATGAATACATTCTATGTGTCAATCCTATATAATTCGAATATAATAAATATATTTCAACATAATTGTATTTTATATTGTTTATTGAAAATTAATACGATATATTTATATGACAATATTTTTAATGATAAATTATGACTTATCTAAATTAATATTCGTGTCTGTTATTTGTTTGAGCGATTCAAGAATTTCAAGGCATTCTGGAGTATATAACTTTAAAAACTCTAGTTGCAATTGAGCACATTCAGCTACAAATAACAGAATATTAAAAATAATTTTTTTATTATATAAAATAATTGTATTAGAATATACCTCTCCATTTTGAAACTATTTCTAGTTTCTTTTTTAATTCTAAATTTAATTTATTGATATCAAGAATGATATTTAGATTACAATCTGACATTATTTCAAAAATGAAAATATTTAATTAATTTTCTATGTTTATTTAATTTTATGTTCTGAATTATCAAAAATAATATATTTAAGAAAAATTCGTATCTTTTCTGTTATTTTAATATTGTAATAAGAACTATATGAAAGAATTCCATAAAATTCGACGCTAGCGCATTCTATATTCAGTACGCAATGAACATGCGCAAAATAATTCCGTTTTATAAAGGACGCAATATAGAAAATAAACAAAAATTTGAAGAAAAATAAATATATGAAGAGGAATTTGAAGAAATATTTGCTAAAAATGTTAAAGCAGTGAATTAAAGAGGTGTTATAAATATAATGTTGCCGTTTAGCAAAAATTCTTTATTCAACAAACTATATTGTGAAACTCTGCCATTTAATATAAAGTTGTTATGTGATGTATTGTTACACATTTTGATTGGTTGAAGAAAAACTTGTCCACAAATAATAACGCTATATTGTGTTGCTTGTACAAAACGATGTGATTGGAGGATTAGTAAACGTCGTTTGTTACTTTACTGAAATTGTGTATATCTAGAATTACATAATCTATGATTATTAAAAGTGGCGATGGCGTTTTATGGCCTGTATTGCTTTGTGATTAAAAAGTGGAGTTTTCGTAATATTTTCTATGGGAGACCGATTTATTAATGTAATTTTCAATATTAATAATAAACAAAGACGCACGACGAAGACAAGTAAGAGATACGAAATTAGAAAGGAAACGTGTAAAAGTGGTGAGCAGAACAAATACATGAACTCCCGCTTCCAAGGGCCGGCGAACATATTTATCTCCGGCAGTAAATGTAATATTTTGACAAAGAGATACAAATAGTTCAATTCAGAAAATACGCCTCATTGTGTACAGTCAATTGTGGTACGTTTCATTTTCTATAACATGAGATTTTTGATCAATTTTTGCGATCACATGACGTTCCCGCCGTAACCTTCCATACTTGTTGTAAACACCGTATCGATATATAGGGTGTCCTTGAATTTCGTTTCTTTTTGTATATTTTATCCTAATTTTTATAAATTATTAGTGTAAATTAGTTTATGTTTTAAAAATATAAAGATTATATGAAAAAATTTAATATTTCTTAATTAATATGTTCACAATTTCAGCATTTTGATAAAAAAGATTAAAAGATGTCGGAAACAGAAAAAAAAGAAGACTGTGTAATGGAAAACCAGGATACATGTTCTGAAAATTTAGAGAGAAGCAAATCAAGTTTGGCATCAAGTAGCGAAATCAATAGTTTAAATGAGAGTCAGGATTTTCATTTAATAGATACAAGTGAAGATGAATCGTTGGATAAATCGCATCAAAATTTAGAAAAAGGAAAGCATGAAGAAGCATTATCTTCTATTTCTAATGTTAATACAGAGACAATTCTAAATGAAATAAAAATAACAGAGCATACAATAAATGATGTACAGAATAATGAATCTATAACAATAGAAAATGCACAAAATATTGAACTTATAAAAGAAAAAGATACACAGAACATAGAATCATCTAAAAAAATAGAGCAGGAGAAAATTATAGAAAGTAGCATTTTAGAAAATAAAGATAAGTATTCTGAAGAAGATGAGGAAATAATACAGTGCACACCACCTACTTCTACTTCACCATCTAAAAAACAATGTAGTGATAATATAATTGCAAGTTTAAAACGAAAAGGAGAATTATTTGATGAACCTCCTGCAAAAATTTTGAGAACAGCATCCAAGGAAGATATATTAGTACCTGAAAAAAGAGAGCAGGAAGAAGACGAAAGTTGTCATTCATTTAAATCTGATAATTCCCAACAAGAATTCCATAAAAATTGTTCTGGTACAAATATTATAATTGCAGAAACCCAAGATATTGGAGAAGATGAAGATACAGAAAGCATTTCTTTGCTAGAAATGCCAACAAAATATAAGGAAAAAACTAAAAATGAAAAATATCTTGAGTTAGAAATTAAAGATTATGAAATTGATAAAAATAAAAATTTTAGCGATACATCAAAATTACATCAACCTATTGGGAAAAAAGAATTTAATGATGAAATATCTGATTTAAAAAATATAATTAATTCTAATGAAAATAGATTAACACAGATTCAAACAAAAGAAAAAGATGCTTCATCTTTACTTAAAGTTATTGCAGTTGAAAAGATAAAATCGGATTTGGATAATAAAAATACAGATAATACTAGATCGATTGAAGTAAAAGATAATAAAATATTGTATAACGAAAAAACTGAAGATAAGGAAAATGGTATTGAGCCTATACAACACACCAATTTGGAACAAAACAATAGCGATATTCAAGAAATATCAGTTTCTAAAGAAATTAGCGAATCACACACTAATACATGTTCTTCAAATACATGCAAATCAAGGAAAAGCGTAGAACTTATATATGATCAAACTGCAATTCATGAAATTAAGTTAAAATCTAAAGAACTAGTAGAAATTGATGAAGATGGTGAAAAGATTGTGCTAGATTCATCTCAAGAAGATTCTGATGCAAAAGTTGAAAATAAAAATATTTTAGATAACACAAAGTCTGATACAGTATACAAAAGTTGTTATGACAGCAAAAGTAGTAGCGAATTTAGTTATAAATCAATAGAAAATACCAAAGAACCATCTCTTGATTCAGCTAAATCTGATAGTAAATTAGTAAATGGAAGTAGTGAATCAAAAAAGTGTGATACTGATAGCACGGCTAGTTTACAATCAGACACATTTAGCGATATGCCGGTTCTTGATAAAGTAGATAACAATATCCCTACATCCGTGCATAATATAAATAAACAAATCAAACCAATCACCATATCTAAAGATGGTTATCACACTGATTTATTAAGTGTAAGTGACAATGAACCTGATGTTTTTATAGTAGATGATAAAAGTAAGTCAAATTCGACTCACAGTAGTTCTATTACAAAAGCTTTGCAAATAGAAAAAGAAATTGGTATATATGTTAGAATGAAATGTTTATTACATATTGACGAAGGTACAAAAGAATTCCTAAGTAAAGAAATCACTAGTGTGCAATGTGAAACTATTGTTGGAGAGCCCACTATAACAAGACAAAAAACCAATGATACATCTACTTCATTAGCAGATATTTCTGGAAATGATAATAAAGATACATCTCCAGGATCAGTAAATAGTAATCCGCAATTATATCAATTGAATCCTTCCAGACTTTCATTTGCATCAACAATTAGTTCTTTAAGTTCTGCATCTAGTGCTGCTTCACTGGCAGCCAAACTAGCAATAAGAGATAGCACACATTTTTCTTTACCAAGAGCACCAATAAAACATGTAAAAAGGCATGTTCAAGATATGCATTCACTAAATGATAAACAAGCAATAGAAGAAGCATATGAACGTCTTAATAAAGAATGGCAAAACAGTCATCTTCTTACAACAACTGTTTTAAATTTTGCAAATACTGAACTTAGTGGAACTGATGCATATAATGTTAGCAACGAGAGGATAGATGATCAATTACAAAAAATTCGATCGTCTACGCCAGAAGTTTCACAAGAAGTAATACCGATACAAACTCCTAAAAGCACAAAAAAGAGTAAAGCAGTAAAAAGATCAAGAAGTAAAAGTACCAAATCAGATAATCATTCGAATGGAATAAACAAGATTTCAAAAGTATTAAGCCCTACAGAGAACAATAATACACCAAATAGAAAAAAGAATAAAACGGAACACACGGACAATTCGAGTACTGTAGACGTTTCAACAAAATCTCAACCGCATATAATAACAGACGAGTTAATCGGCAAAAATGTATTTGCTAAATGGTCTGATAATAATTACTATCCAGGTATAGTTATTGATAAAATAAAAACAAAATATAAGGTAAACTTTTTTGATGGAAAAAGTAAAGTACTTATAGAAGACTTTGTTATACCAATACCAAAAGTTCTGAAAGAAGGTTTATCTGTATATGCTGCTACTAAAAATTATGATTACGGATCGTGTGGTATAATAACTGATATTGTAACTGTAAATAATGAAATATATTATACAGTAGAAACAGATGAAGGAGAAAAATTACGAGTTCAAATCAAAGATATTTCTTTTTCTGCTGATCAAGCTCAAGTATTGAAAGAAGAAATTAATTTGGAGAACAAGAGTCTTCCATCTACACCAAAATATTTAGGTCAAATAACATTAGATAACATGGTTGATGGAAAAAGACGTTCTAAACGGATTGCCACTCCCATTTTTTCTACTCCTAAATCTAAATTAATCCATACTCCCACGAATAAATCTGAAATAGAACCATCTGTTTCTGGTATAACTTCTATAAACAAAAAGGAAAAGAAAGTATCCTCTGAAAGTGATTATGTTTCCAGTGATTCAAATATTTCTATAAAGGATGAAGTTTTTTCTATTGGCGTCCAATCTGAAATAATTGGAACTCCATATGAACAAATTGTGAAAGGACCACAAAGTCGGATCAAAAGTAAATCGAGGAGTAAAAAGAAAGCGGATGACGAAGAAACTATTGCGATATTTGGTCCAATTCCACATGAAGATTTAAATCTCTTTAAAGGCATGTCTTTCATTCTCACTTGTGCATCCTTAGAAATTATCGATCGATTTCAAGATAATAGCAAGGATTATGGTTCGGATGCAGAATTGGGTTCTGGAACTGAAAATGAAGAAGAATGGGCAAAAAAACCTTTCATAAGAGATAGATTAATCAAACAAATAGTGGCGGGTGGCGGAAAAGTTTATACAGAATTCAATGAAATTCCTCAGGATGAGTACAAAAATACAAAACTGATAACAAATGTGCCAAATACAACTGCAAAGACTCTCTTGTGTCTTTCAGTTGGTATACCCGCTTATAATCATAATTGGATAATAAGATGTTGTCAAGAGGTAAATATTATAATTATAATATATATTTAAATCTATAATTTTATATCTTATATCTTATAATGTTATTTTTATAGGGAAAACTTGTAAATTTAGCTGAAGATGAATTACCTTCAGGATGGAGTTTGGAAAAAAATTCATATATTGAAATGTTTCAAAGATCCAGTAATAAACCATTAGCTCAAGTTGTGATAATAATTCCATTTTTAGAGTCTCAAAAACAATTTGCTACATTTTGGCGTCAAGTTTGTGAAAATACAGGTGCTGTTGTTTTATTAGCAGAAAAACCAGGTATGAAAAATTTTATGTAATAAAAATTTGACAATCAAAAAATTAAAATTAGTATTGAACAAAAATTTTTGATAATTTTTAGATGCAATGGAGAGTTTTGTACAGGGAACTATAGTTCTTACAAACAGTTTATGCCCATTTTGGGCAGTAGAGAAAGCTAATAAACTACAAATTCCATTACTTTCTACAACATGGATTGTTCAATGTTTAATAGAAGGAAAATTATGCTCTTATGACGCAAGTCCTCGTTACAAGTATAATTATAAACAAAATTAAAAATATTCAATGATTGAGAAATTATAATTATAATTTTGAATGCAGGTGAGATCCTGTCTTTGTAAATTATAAAAATCTTTTACTTTTATTGTATCATTCTAGATATATTTGATAAATTGATGAACATTATTTTTGTCTTTAGACAACCATAAAGCACATCTATTTGTTTATGCACTTATAAAACGTTAAAGTACTAGTACTTTAAAACTATTATTTTAATAGTTTATCTACAATATCAAAATCTATTTTTGATAAGTATCTGATGAAAGAATTATGTTGCAATTATAATTATGATTATCTGATGCCTTTTGCATCATGGTCGTATAAGAAATCTTGTCAACTTATAAAAAAACATCTATTTAAAGAATTGTCTTGATATGAAATGAATAGAAAAGTACAAAAAGATAATAATGCTTGCATTTGTTTATGTTAAATATAACATAAGAATTCTGTTTGCAAAGAAATTTCTAAAAGAATTAGAGGAATAAAAACGATCAATTCATAAGACAAAATTATGACCAGGATGCAAAGCAAATTAATTTATATTGAAAATGTCAAAACGTGTTTTACGTAGTAATATTGACTGTAAGAATATCTGGTGTAAAGATTTTTTTTGTGATTATTCATTATGCATAACTTACATATGCTTATTACACACCATATTGTTTACTATTAAAAAAAAAAATGTAGCAGTAGAATTTTGTAATATTTTGTATAAATCAAATTCTAAATCAAAAATCACTTTTGTAAAAAAAAGAGGAGAAACAAAAAAAATGAATTATAAAAAAATAAATTTTAGAGACATTTCATAATTTTTAATCGCAATTTATGCGATTCAATATTATTTCATTTACATTATTATTGAATAAGTTTTTTAATACAGACCAAATAAGAAAATATAATTTTATCATATTGTTTTAAATATCGTTTTTACAAAAAATTGAAAAAAAAATATAAACAATTAGAAATCTAATAATAATTCATATTTACAATAATGTAAATAACTTGGTGCATTGCTTTTTTCATATTAGCATATTTACAATAATACATTTATATTTATAAGAATTATTATTACATTTCGAGAGTAAATTTCTTTTTACATTTAATAATTAAATAATTGTTATTCGTTTATAAAAAGAAAAAAAATTTATGCTATCAAAAAATAGGCAATTTGCTATGAGAATCTTTCTTTTATTAAAGTTATAATTTTAATTTGTGTTTGACTATTTATGTTTGATTTGGCTGTTGCTTATTTAAATCATTATTGTATACAGTTAATATTAAAATTACTCTGTAAATCAAAGGTAATAATGGATGGTATATCCTGTAAATATTTTTTTACATAAAATTATAAGTGACAAATCAAATCTATTTACATTACACTTTTTATGTACTGGATATATATACCATATAAGAAACTTTAATCATTTATTCATGATAGATATAAGTTCAAAAAAAGAAGAAATATCAAGCGAGTTGCCTCTAAATACTTCATATTAAGATAGCATTAATAATTTTTAAGTAATGAAAGATACAAGAGAATGTATCTTATAGACATTTATGACAGTTTCATTAATTTACAGAATGATTTTCTGTTAAACCAAATATTAACAAGACAACAAAAATTGTACATGGCTATTGCACATGTGCAAATATGTATATATAAATGAATATATACATATACTATAAATTTTATTATATAAGATGTAGCTGTTATGTAAAATGTTTGGGGATAAAATACAATGACATATTTTGGCAAATGTTTTGTTCATTGTCATTTACAGAATAACAGAGTGTACAAGTGTTATATCAATATTTTACATATAATACAACATTCTTCAGATGTTTGTACAAAGAAAATATAATAAAATAATATACCTCTTTATTTTATGGATTATACCAATCGAGAAACAATAGAGAAAAAGACATAACTAAAAGAAAAAAAAGAATCCACACTCTGAGTCCTGCATTTCTCTGAATTGCTTGTCTAATTTGCTCATTAGCTTCTTTCATATTTTCTGTTGATCCAACAACTGTTGTCATTAAACGATCTAAATCTTTATCTTGATCTAATACTTTTTCTGTGAATATCTCTTGAAGTTCAGCTATGTGAACAACTTTACTTTCTATATGTCTCACTTCTTCTGTTAATGTATTAAGTTCATTATATAATTGTTCATTTTCTGCTTCAAATACTTGTATATCTTCAGGTGATATTTCTTCTTCATATATTAATGTATTTACATCCCCATTTATTTCTTGTATTTTCATAGGGCTTGAGTCATCAGAATTAATTTTATTTTCTTTGTCTTCAGTTTTTTCATTTATATTTGAATTGGATTTTATTTTATGCTCTAACTCTTTAATTGGTTTTTTCTCCAATTCCAATTTAGCAATTTTTCTTATTTCCATTGCTCTTTTTACTCGTATTGCTTTTTGTTCTGAATAAATTTTGCAAACATTCTTCAGATAATCTTCAATTAACAATAACATGATTTCTCTATGTTCCAAATTTTGTGGAGAAACTTCAGAATTTGCTATTTCTCTCTTTAATTCCTTGATTAACTGGGAACAAGTAGTCATTATTTTTTGTGCACCAATGTCAATTTTATCACGATCAGCATCTGTCATACTTGGTATATTTGACATGTAGTTAGAAAAATTTAAATATGCTTTTCGATTTTCTAACAAAAATTCGCGTAATTTTGAAATTTGTGCAACAACACCTTGAACTTTTATAAAAAAGGCACTTTTATTTTTTGCCTTTTTTATGTTTTGTGTATTATCAATAATTCCTAAAGCTTTATTACGAAGACTAATAGTTTTTACACTTGCTTTAAATAATGTACTGACATCCATTTTTATTTGCCGTTAAAATTAACAATTTTTAGTAAAAAAAGAAGGCACCTTATTTCATGCTTACTTAGTAACTTATTGCATTCAATAAATTAAAAAGCCACAGTTTAAAATGAAACTTACAATTATAAAGAATGGGTATGTAATAATATTTCACGAAATACATAAAAGAAAAATATCGCCATTTAAAATAAATTTTTTATCGAACTTCAAAACGTTCATCATATGGTATTATAAACTATTACAATGCTTAACCTAAAAATAAGAAAATACAAAAAATTATTATACATTATTTTAATAATTGAAAAAATATATCATGATAAATAAATTAATGTGTATATATATAATTATAATAATTTTTATTATAACTATATTATTTATTAACTCAATATCTATAAAAATTGTCAAACTATCACTTTTAAAATAAAAATTTTTATCATTTATGAAATCTTATATAGAATATAAAATATATTACATTTATATTTTATACATTTTTACTATTTTTGACAGTATACATTTCAAATAATACATAGATATAATAAATATAAAATATGAAATCTTGCTATAGTATATGAAATTTAGAACATATCTAGAATCAAAAAATGTATATTTATATGAAGTCGAATAAATGAAAAAAGAATTAACTTTAGAATTTTAAAATATAATAAAATATAAATTGAAAAAATATATAAATCAAATTATTTTTATGCAATCAAATAATTGATATTGTAATATACGATTTTTGAAAACCGGAACATATAGTTAAATGAAATACTACCGAAATGACAAGATGGCACGTCAGCAGCAAGCAGACGTTGACGAACTTTTCGACGTAAAAAACCATTTCTATATTGGCAATTATCAACAATGTATCAACGAAGCACAAAAAATCAAGGTTTGTAATCATAAAGTATGTTTTCTCTAAATGTTACCTTTTTTTTTTATACAAAAAGAATTTTTTTCCATATCACCAAAACATTTTATTGTCACAATGTATTAATTTAATTTTTATCTATATTAATGTTAAAAATAATTTCTTAATTATTTAAAATAAAATATTAATGTTAATTTATATTACTATAGTCATCTTCGCCAGAAGTGATAATGGAACGAGATGTATTTCTCTATCGTGCATATATAGCACAAGAAAATTCCGTGTTGTGCTAGATGAAATTAACAATTCTTCTCCTCCTGACTTACAACCATTGAAGATGTTGGCAGATTATTTTGCGAATCCATGTCGCAGAGAAGCGATTGTCGCAGAATTGCAACAAGCGACTAATCGCACTAATTATGATAATCACAATTTTCTGATCGTTGCTGCAACAATCTATTATCATGAAAAAAACTTAGAAGCAGCACTTAGGATACTTCGTAATGTAGATCATCTAGAATGTTTAGCTCTAACTCTGCAGATTTATTTAAAAATGGATCGATTGGATCTTGCAAAGAAAGAATTAATTACTATGCAGGAAAAAGATGATGATGCTACTCTAACTCAATTGGCACAAGCATGGTTAAACATAAGCAGTGGTGGAGATAAGTTACAAGATGCTTACTATATATTTCAAGTAAAATTATATTTATTATATATGTTCAGTTTAAAAATAATTTATTATAATATATTATATAATTTCAGGATATGATAGATAAACATTCCAGTACAAGTATGTTATTAAATGGTCAAGCTACTTGTTTTATTGGACAAGCTAAATATGAAGAAGCTGAAACAGCTTTGCAAGAATCTTTGGATAAAGATAGTAATAATCCAGATACTTTAATCAATATGATTGTACTTTCTCAGCATATGGGAAAACCACCTGAAGTTGCTAATCGTTATTTAAGTCAATTGAAGGATTCACATTTGGAACATCCATTTGTTAAAGAATATTTACAAAAAGAAATAGAATTCCAAAGACTCAGGAAACAATATTCTTTATCTGCCTAAACTATATTGACTCATAGCATTTTATAAATTAAAATTAAGAAAGCATTGAGAGTGATATAACAATATGAATTCTAGATGCTATGAGATTAGGATGTTACTGCAGGGTATAACGCACTTCAACTAAAATTAAATTTTTATTGTTATAGAATTTTTTTTTTCTTCATATATTTTTCGTTTAGTGGTTTTATACGAGATATTTCACTTTTGCATGAAGTTTTTATGATAACTGGCAAATAAAAAGATAGATAAGTGAAACTATTTACAACTTTTACATATATAATTAAGAAAATATATAAAAAATAATTAGATATCTACTTCATCTACTCTCTTAATAAAATATTTACAATAAGAATAAAATATGGCTGCCATTTTATATTACAGTTATAAAAAAACTATGAAAGAATATAATAAAATTCCAAGTTGCATGCATTTTAACATACAGTAGGTAAAATTCATCATATTGTTACAGTGTAATGATTTGTTCTACGCATTAGTATTTATAAAAAAACAATTACATTGAAATACACATTAAACTAAATAAATTTACTAGTATTTTTTCTTCTATTATAAATAAAATATGAAAAGTTGGAGCGATCGGCAACTTTTCTCATAACTCCTTTGGTAAGTTACAATTTCTTTTGAGCCTCGCCATCTAACGACACATTTTGTAAATATTTAGTGTCAAGCCGAAAAACGTTTATTACATAGGAGAATTCGAAAATTTAAACGGACAAGTTTAGTTAGTCGGAATGTGTTAAAAGTGACAAGAGTTCGGTGCAAATCCTAAAGACATTTGTCGTAAAAAAAGATAATTTCGTTATTAAAGATCACGAATTAGTCACTGGATTCCGGCGGGAGATACAATTGCATTGAGACACTTTTGAATATCTTTGTTCTTTGGTAATCGTTTGGGAGGGACCAAGAAACAGATTGTGGATTTTTTCTTTGAGAAATATCGTGTTGGATCAACACAAATCTTTAGAACATGGCGACACAAAATAGGTATACAATTATTTCTAACAATATAATTATAAGAATGCTGACTAGAATAATAGTCCATAATTATGTTTTGCTTTCTATCCCATCATCTTCGTCGGTTAACCAATCTTCCTAATTTTTGTACTCTTTTCAACTAATCATTTTCACTGTTATTTATAGCACAGGTAGTTTTTTTCTTTATATGATACATTTTGAATATAACTGATAAATACTTTCTATGTATATATATAGTTATGATCGTATTATATCGTGTGTGCTACGTATTAAAAATTATTTTTTAATTATATAGAATTATAATATCGGTATTTAACCTATAATGTAAAAAAATTTTTATATACAGAATTATTATATTACATTAATATACTTTAAAATTTCTAATAAAACTATTGTTTATTAACTATGTTCATTAAATCGATATTGAATTTTTAAGATTTTTATATGTTTTCAGGAACGCACTTTGCTAGTCGTAAACCTGTACGTCCACTAAGAATTTGAAAAATAGAAGTGTGCGATTAAACGTCACAACGGCTGAGCAAAAGTACTATTTATTATTGGAATTACATGACAATAAATGAGATACAATAAAAAAAACAAATAATTTAAAAAAAATTAATTTAAAGTCATAGAGGAGTGATATATATTAAAATATAAGATACATGGTTTTTTTGAAATTATTATTTGTTTTATAATTATTCAGAATACTGTTTATATTCTAAACTATTTTGGATTAACTTAATTATATTTCTCTATTTCATATTCATAGATTATATTACATTGTTATTTGCAAATGTTTAGAAATATATCATATATGCAATGAAAAAACAATAGGAGAAAATATTTGAATTAATAGTAATTGTACATGATTATTTGTTAATGAATTTTATTTTTTAATTTAAATTTATTATAAATTGATATATAATAATATTTATTTTATTTAGTACATCATAATACTTAATTCGTTAAAGAAAGAATATAAAGATCATATATATGTGTTCTATTAAAGAATATTTCCTCTAGATTTAAGTATTATATTTTGTAGCATTTTGTACATTTATTTTGACTATGTATCATACTATGTATCCACCACAAATAATGGTGCAGATAATGGGTGGCCAACAGGCAAATGGACAGTGTCCACCAGTTCAATCACATACAATGCACATTCATGGTGCAAGTGCATTCCATCAGGCAGAATATGCAAAATATCGCTCAGATGCTTGTTCTCAGAACAGACATCAAATGATACAGGTATATTATTATTTATATTATAAGTTTAAAAAGTTCAAAAATATTAATATATTCTACATTTTGTTAACAAAGTGTCTTTGAGTACAAGCAGTATTCTTGCAGACAGGATCTTATCCATTGGAGCTATTGCAATTGATGGGGGTTGAAATACCATCTCTACGGCATGTAGAGTATATGCAATCAAATAACAGCACACAAACAGGACACTGGCAAAGACGTATAAATATTTCAAACAATACACCTATTATACCTTCTCCACATCTTGCTTTTAGACCCAATGATAATAACTTGACAAGCAAAAAGTCAAACTGGTATAATAAATTAAGTAAAAGAACTTCTTTTCGAGATTCTTACGTAAATAACGAAAAATATAGCAGCGATAGTGGCTTTAGTTCACGATCTCCAACACCAAATAAACATCACATCGATAGTAGTCAAACAGAAAGCTCGGATGAACGAGATTCTGTAATTTCTTCAGTCGAACAAAGTATGAAGTGAGTGTTATTTATGTAAATAAATAAGGATGATTAAAAAGGATTTTAATAATATAATTTTTTAATACATTATAAAATCAAAAGATTATTGTGTTCCAGAAAGTCACACAAAATACATCCAAATAATGTTACAAATAATAGAATAATGCAATATGGTATAATTTCAAATAGTTCTACACATCAATATTATCAGAATCAACGATCTATTAATTGTTATCCTACTACCATGTCAACATCTAGAACTCAAATGCAAACTTATCAGAATAAAAGAAGGTATCATTCAGGTATGTTCACAATAATGATTGCATGCTAATTCATCTATCATTTACTTCAGAAACAAATTATAATTTTAGGAAGGAATAGTCCACCTCCTCAAAGATTACCTAGAAATAAAAGATATATGGGATTATTATCGCCTAATTATCACATGTTT